GTGTCGAAAAAGCCAATGGTAGAAACACAAAGTGGGAGAGACAGGATTCAGTAGCTTACCCTTAAAACTAAAACAATCACACAGATATGACTTCTAGAAGTGTTAGTGGCACATGGGTGTAGCATTCACCAACTGATGTGGCCGCCAGGAGGAGTTATTAGGATTTTAGACTGCATGACTAGATAGGCAGACCTACAATGAGAGGTGATAGCTGGGTTAGTCTACACTAATCAGACCATATACCGGGCATCCAGTTTGGGGCTCCATGGCTAGAGAAAGATCATTAGAGTCCATTCAGAGATGAGTGAAGAGACCTACAAAACACAGAAACCATGTGGGACACAGTTAGAGGAAGAGGCTTGGCCTGAACCCAAGGCAGCTCCTTGAAGTCATGGTGCTGTTCTCAAATATATGAAGGGCTTTTATGCAGAACAGGGACAAGGTCATGGCGAGTCGGATTCCCATGAGCTGGAACTTCCCAAAGATGAAAGAACTGCTTAGAGACAGCAAGTTCCCTGTCACTGGCGGTGTTCTAACCTACTTTGGGTAAACACTTGATGTGGATATTGTGGCAAGGATTTTAACGCTGGGAAAATAGGTGTTTGGATCAGACCAACCGTTCAGCCCTGAAATTCTTCAACTCCCGTGGAATCTAGTGTTCTCTCAGTAAGGTCCATGAGCTTCTGAGTTCGGTGCCCAAGGTCATAAATCTGCGTTTTATGAGTTTTCAGCATTAGCATTTTGAGCACAGGCCCTGTGGGTGACATAAATGTCTTAATGTTCATCATCTAGTTGGGACGGCAAGAGCTGCAATGAGACCCTTGCTCAGGACTGTTGAGAAGTAAATGCAAAATGGTCGAATGAAGACATGCGGCATATACACGAGCGGAGAAGGGCCAGGGAGGGATGGGAGACCCTCATGAAGACCACGAGGTCGTTGTGTTTTCTTTCTTTCTCGCTTTCTTTCTCTTTCTCCCCCCCCCTCAGAGAACTTTTTGCTATAGGGCGTGTACGCTCACCAGAAAGACAGAGACAGAGAGACAGAAAGTAAGAAATCACCCCCCAGAGGGGATGGCCACGCCGCAATCCCTTCGCCTTCATTCTCTTCTCAGGATCTTGGGCACACACGCACACGCGCCCAGTGTGAGTTTAAGCCACTGGGTCCAGGACTCGAATTGCTGTCGACTGACTACGTGGGAGTCCAGCGACATAGCCATTATGCTAACATTTTTCTTTTTAAGGAAGATATTTGCTACTGCAAAAACCCTACAGGGCACGGTATACTCGCTAGAGAGACGAGAGACAGGAAGACAGAAAGCAAAATATCATCCCACAGGGTGGATGGCCATGCTACAACAATCCCTTCTCCTCCACTCTCCTCTCAGGATTTTGGGTATGCACGCACATATACCCAGCATGAGTTTTAAGCTGCCAGGTCCAGGACTCGAACCATGGGAGTCCAGCAACGTAACCACTACGCTATCTGCTGGTCCCCAGAGGCCATGTGTTTGCATGCATTAGGTACTACGTGGGGCTTTAGAAATGGTGGTAACACAGATGTCTATACCGAGCAGACCCGGTCGACTGTGTCTTTCCTTCAGAGGCAAAACATGGCGTGCTGTGCTGGGACGCTCTGCCCCGTGCGTGCAGATCTTCTTAGAGCGTCTCTCCCGTTAATGCCCTGAGCCACTGCAGAGCTTCCCACAGCAGCTTTGATTCCGCAGCCCCTGCTCGTACACTGCCTGCGTCTCCAGTGCGTTGGTCTGACAGCAGTTTTTATTGACTAAGCTTTTTCTTCATCAGCTTCCTGATTGCCTCTGAGCCTTTCCAAACCCAGCAGCCCTTTAATCCTGGAAACTAAGAGCCTCTTCCCCATGGTGAGCACTGCACCTTGCCCTCCATAACCCGTGGCAATAATTACAAGAAAAAACAATCCCTTCCATTTATTTAGGGCTTCGTGGCTCTCAACACTTTCACATCCTCTCTCTCGTTTTTCACAGCCGTGTGGAGAGGAACGAGGGGCTGGTGCCACCCTGATAGGCGAGGGCAGAGCGTTTGTCCAAGGTCACGCAGGAATGAACGGGTTCTGGGATCAGAACGCAGGTCCTGGGGCCAAGTGTGGCACGGTGGTGGTGCAGTTGTTGCCACATGGGAAGTTCCTGGGCCGTGTCCCAGCTCCTCTTAGCGTGCTGGTATGTGGGCTTGCATGTGATCCTGCTGGGGCCAGCAGCGGGTCACGTGAAGACCCTGTCGGAGGTGCCTCGCTCTCTGTTTCTCTCCTGGAAAGAAATAAACTTAAAAAGAAGACACACAGAGGTCTCCTGACCCTGTGCTCGTTTGGTGACACGGTCAGTGTCAACAGCCCCGCAGTGCTCCCCTTTCCTGGGAGCCCTATGCTCCGACCCAGGCTCGTCACGACGTCATCAGAACTGCACGTCTCCTGGGGGGCAGCGTTTCCAAAGGCGTGGCTCCGCGTCTCAGTCTGTTGACCTGGGATCCCAGGGCACCTTGGCGAGTGAAGGCCGGGAGCAGGCACCACTCGGAGGCTGTATCTGCCTCTCCATTTGCTTTTAGAGGTTCGTGAGATTACCCGATTCACGCACGGCAAACCGACATGTGAGCAAGAAAAACAGGGTGTCTGCACTCAATCAAATGAAACGTAGAGCAGAGTTCATGCAGCACGTTTTGGAATCTTACAGCATGGACGTCCTGCTTGGTGATGAGGCCGAAATGGCACACCGCTTGTATGAATGGCTGCAATTAGCAGGGCTTTCGTGGAGCCGGGTCCAGATTTAAGTTCCTCTCATCTCGCGTGATTAGCTCCCCAGTGTTTCCGGAGCTGGAGCGACTGTCCCAGGTTTTCCTTGCTACCATTTGCCACCTGATATCTGAGTTTCTTCAAACGCAGGAAGGTCATTCTGGGGACCGAGAGAAAACCACCTTGCTTACTGGAAGTCCCTTCACACCGTGTCTATTCCTGTCCCCGAGGTGTCCCTGTTCTACAGCACAGGCTTCTCCCTCTGCTTCCCCTTCGAGGCGGTCCTGTAATTGTCGTGAGTTAGCTGAGAGCGAGGCTGAAAACCCAAACAGCTGCCATTCACCAGGGAGAGAGTTTTCTCTGCCAAGAAGCATGCGTCACAGTGGAGAAGTAGGACACGGTCGGAAAGACGGCCACAGCCCACAGACGCCGAGAGGGACGGCGGCTTTTACCGAGCACCCCGGGGCCGCAGCCGTGCAGTTGCTCAAAGGCAAGCATCAGGTCTTAGGGACAGCTGAGGGAGAGTCATCCGAGGCTCTGTGCTGTCATGAGTGACCTTGACCACGGAGGTTCACATCAGTGCCCTTGTCTGGGTCAGAAGGTGGCCGCCATAGCAGTGGGAGGGCCGATCACAGTCTCTGCCCAGTCTGCAGATGGTGTGAGTGCTCCCCCCAGAGCAGCAACGGGGGAGGGGACGGAACCAGGGACAGCAGGGAGGAGTCCTGGCTGGGTGTGGTGGGCATGGGTGAAAATGAGAGAGAACTTGGGAACAGATATGTTCCCATCCCTTATATGTTATTCAGAAATACCCCCAGTAGCTAATATCCGCTTGGAACTTAGAACCAGGCAGTCTCCTCAGTTACTGAAGTCTCCAGACATGTCATCATTTGTGTTTAGAATGGTAGGTGCCGAAGTGTGTGTGTGTGTTACACAGTCAGAACAGGCCTTCAGAGCCAGACCCCAGCCTGTTCACAAAGCCTGGAGTCGCCTTAACAGGAGGGGTAGGGCAGGGGGTGGGAGCTGGAGAGAGGGGCTTTTACTGCAGACCCTGGGAACATTCATTCTTTGGGGTGGCTTCTCACACCCATTCAGATGCTAAACCAGATCCTTCCTGCTTGAAATCAGAGGGGCATTGAAGGAAGGATCTGTTTTTTGGGAGAAAAGGGGGAATGTAAAAGGGTCACCAAGGCAAGAGGCATGGTGGTTAAGGCGCTGGACTCTCATGTGGCCAACTGCAGTTTGAGTCCTGGACCCAGGGGCTCACTGGGCACTTGTGTGCATGTCCAAGATCCTGAGAGGAGAGTGGAAAAGGGATTGCAGCATGGACTTCCCCAGGGGGACGATTTCTCACTTTCCATCTCTGTCTCTGGCAAGTGTACATGCCCTATGGCAGAAACCTGGAAAGATAAATAGAATAAATTAATTAAAAAGAAGCAAGGTCGCCCCTGGTTGCACGCAGCCCTGTCCCACAGCTGTGTCTGTCTCTATCCCTAGGTAGGAGCAGGGTCCAGACCCTACCTTCCTGTCTGTGGGGCCCTGCAGAGCAGGGCGAGGCTGCTGAGGGAGTAGAGGAGGAATCTCTCCAGGTTGGCAGCCTTCAGCCAGGCTCTCCCACAATGCCCAGCCTGGCCTGTGCCTGAGAGGGCCAAACGCATGGACAGTGTGCTGGTGGGGGGGGTGTTGTCATGGACTGCCTCGAGGATCTTGAGGGGACATGGGGCCCACACATGTAAGCACATGGTTCCGAAGTGTCTGCTGCTAGTGCCGGGTCAGATGGCACAGATGCAGTGGGGTTGGGGGGGTGGGGTCGGGGGTGAGAAGCACCAACGGGAACCAGGCGCCCAGGAAAGAAATTCACGTGGCTATCTTCCATCTGCAAGCAGAACAGGGATGGGGAGTCTGCAGAGGCTGGGGGTGTGGTGTTGGGGAAGGCAGAGTAAGGGAAGACGGGGCTTCCCAGGAACAGATGACTCATCTGGGAGTGAGGGCCGGGGGACCGGAGAGGGGAGGACCATGGGCCCACAGCAGCTGGGCAGGTCCAGCTGGGTCTGTCTGCACCTCCACAGGGGCTGCTCATCCTGATAATGGACAGGCCCTGCAGCCTTGGCCAACTGACCTGCGCAGGCTGCCCTGACCTATCCAGTCGGGGCTGCAGGCTGGAGTCTGGGGTCCACCCTGGGGCTGCCCCTGGGGGATGCGGCCTCTCGCTGGCCTCAGCACTCTCCTTTCACCACCTCTGCAGGAAAATCGCTGCTTACGATGAGGAAATCCAGCGCCTCTATGAGGAGATGGAACAGCAAATCAAACGTGAGAAGGAGCAGTTCCTCCTGAAAGTAAGCGTCTCCGCCCGCCGCTCCAGGGCCGCGCACAGCCCACTCTGGCCGCGGGCCCCACCGGAGTGTGCACAGGTGAG